GTGCACCTCTTTGATCGGGGAAGGTTTATAGGGTTGTCCCAGCAAAACCGGATCTGGATTCACAGGTTGTTGGAGCTTAGAGGCTTTGATCGGGCCCTCTCTTAATGACAGTAACTGACTAACTCCCTCTAGATAGGCATACCACTTCTGTATCGTGGCCTTCTGGGCCACTCCCTCAGGAGGGGGTGATCCCTTGAGGATCAAATTTAGCAGAGGAAAAGGGCCTTGTACTATAATGTCTTGTGAAGTATGTAACCTCTCTGCCTTCTTAACTGCCCTGGTAAGTGAGAGGAGTCCCTTTTCCCACGCTGAGTACCGTTGTTCAGCTTCCTTGAATGAGGTAGAAGAGAATAATAAAGGTCTAGCTGGCCCCCTCGGTTCCTTTTGGAATATACCACAATAGGAGGCATGTTCTGTGAACCCCCATTCTACCCTCAACGGGTCTCATGAGTGTAGTGGGCCTAGCCTCTGATAGGTCTTAAGTTCATCCTTCAGGACAGTAAGGGCCTCTGTGTCATGGATTCTAATCCCATTCCTTAATTCTTTCGGAGCAAGTCACATAAAGGGCGAGCAATCACCGAAAACCCCAGTATATATTTTCTCCAACAGCCCATTACACCTAACAACTGCTGTAATTCTGTCTTATTGCCTGCAGGACAGTAAGGGCCTCTGTGTCATGGATTCTAATCCCATTCCTTAATTCTTTCGGAGCAAGTCACATAAAGGGCGAGCAATCACCGAAAACCCCAGTATATATTTTCTCCAACAGCCCATTACACCTAACAACTGCTGTAATTCTGTCTTATTGCCTGGAGTTCGCCCTTTCTCAATAGCTGATAGAGTGTCACTGGGCACCGCAACTGCTCCAGCTATCCACCAAGCTCCTAGGAATTTAATTTCTTCTCCAGGACCTTGACATTTGGAAGGCAGAATGTCTAGCCTGTTTTTAGTCAACTGGTTCCAGTTGGCTTCGGCTACTTGCCTTACCTGTTCTTTATTATCTCCACCAACTAGGATGTCGTGTATGTACTGATGTATGTGGACGCCTGACGGCACCTCCACTGTGTCAAGGAGTTTGGCCAAGGCATTGTGAGCAATAGTAGGGGAGTGTTTGCCCAAGTAAAGGCAAAGTGAGGCTTATCCTCTTCTCTTAATGCAATAATGAAAAACATGTCCTTGACATCCAGGGTGGCCATCCACGGGGTGGGCGGCTGCCTGTATTCCTGTTACTACTGAGGTTAGACTTGGGACGGCAGCCATTAGCTGCGGGGGATTATTGTTTAATCTTCAGTAGTC